TGGTGATTATCCTTTTTAAAAAAATCTTTATTAAAACTAGTCAGGGAGTCTGTGTTTAATTGTGTTTACTTTAAGTTTTATAGTCATAGAATATAGTCATGGGATACTACTTCCAGCATGGTTGTTCAAGAAATAAAATGCTACACTCTGCGTCAGTTAAACATTAAAACAATTGAAAAAAGCGTTAAAAGAACTGTAAAACTTTCATTTATTCATTTTCTTTTCGGCTTAGTCTCTATTAATCTGGGGTCACCACAGCGGAATGAACCGCCAACTTATCCAGCATACGTTTTATGCAGCGGAAACATCCATACACACTCATTCACACACATACACTACGGACAATTTAACTTACCCATATAACACATGCCCTATGAGTTTTTTATTTATTAATTTTTTGACCTGTGGGGAAACTGGAGCACCCGGAGGAAACCCACATGAACATGGGGAGAACATGCAAACTCCACACAAAAACATTAATTGACTCAGCCGAGGCTTGAACCAGCAACCTTCTTGCTGTGAGATGAAACTGCTACCCACTGCGCCACTGTGCAGCCCATTGTTGAACTTAAGCCAGAAAAATAAACATGCCCCCCCCCCAAAAAAAAATGTCATCATTTACTCATCCTCCACTATTTCCAAACCTGTTTATGTATCTTTTAAATTTTGGAAACCAGAAGCCATCGACTTCTATAGGATTATTTTCCCTACTGTATTAAAGTCAATGCTTCTAGTTTCCAACATTCTGCAAAATACATCTTCTTTGGTGTTAAAAAGGACACAGAAACTTCTAAAAGTTGGAGGCTGAGTAAACAGTCATTTTGGGGTATTTAAGTATTTGCTTAAATCCAAAGTGTCTTTATAAATCCGGCAGTGTATATTTAACATACTTTCAGATGGTGCACACTATGTGACATCATGGCCTCCCAGATGTTTTGTCAACCACTCGTATCCTTTTTGTTTTTCAGTGTTTTGAAATTCAGAGTCTGCTGTATGGTCCTCAGCACAAGAAAACCAAAGCCACTCAAAGAAGCGTGGACATGCTGTCTCAGTGAGTTTCCTTTGCTAGACATTTACACTAGCAAGAAGTCTAAAAATGTGCTTCCAGTGCAATACACACTGACATTTCACCTGAACATAGTGTGCTAGTGGAAACGAATATTATTTATAAATGAGGCATTCAATGCTTTATGGTCTTTTTCTAGGTCGCCAGAGGTGAGTGAGAAACGTAAAGCAAGCCGCGTTGAAACAAGGCCTCCGTTCTGTGCAGTGGTTGCATCTGCATCTGAGGTGACATCTAGTCTGTCTAACTCGTAACAACAGTGACCAGCAGGCTGATCTAATGAATGCGGCATAGGCTGTCAAGGATGTTTGACCTCATCCTTTTTCACCCAGGGAAATCTGTGGGCTGGAAAAGAATAAGGCAATATTCCTCGAACAGCACACAAGCTCTGCTGTGTCTTTAATGTGAGTTGCTGAGTCTCAAAGTGGTTGGCAAGGTGACTATATCTCCAGTTCAGAAAATGAGAACGTCCAACAGTGATCTAATACACCGTCACAGTGGTTTTCTGCAAACACTCCTTGACTAGAGAGTTTTCTTATTTCTGAGAATTGCTGAAATGTGTGAGAAATGTGTGTGAAATGTGAGCTTTCAGGGTTTATTTATTGTTTGCATATAAACCAGTGTTCAAACAGTGAACAGACTAGTCTTTTTTAAAAAGTAAAACAGCACACAAAGCACCCTTTTTCTTTGTGAATTTTTATTTAAAAACAACTACATCTGTTACCTGACAGCCCAAACCGTATATCTGTAAAAGAGGTTTCACACAGTGTTGGTTGAGTCATAAAAGCCTATACATAGTTTATAAGTGCTAAAACTCCACCTCGAAAGTTAAGGGATGCAGGTATACGTGACCCTGGATTACTTTTTTGGAAATAGCCCAAAATATACTGTAAAAAACATAAGGATATAATTAAAGATCATGTTCCATGAAAATGTTTTGTAAATGTCTCACTGTAAATATATCTAACTTCACATTTTTGATTGGAAATATATCGTGCATCCAAGAAGTATTCATAGCCCTTACAACCTTATTCCAAAATAGATTAAGTTCATTTATTTCCTAAAACGATCCCTACAGTGAAGCATAATAGTGGCAGCATCATGCGGTGGGGATGTTTTTCAGCAGCAGATACTGGAAGACTAGTCAGGATAGAGGGAAAGATGAATGCAGCAATGTACAGAGACATCCTGAATGAAAACCTGCTTCAGAGTGCTCTTGACCTCAGACTGGGGCGACGGTTCATCTTTCAGCAGGACAAGGATCCAAAGCACATCAGCAAAATATCAATGGAGTAGCTTCACAACAACTCTGTGAATGTACTTCAGTGGCCCAGCTAGAGCCCAAACCTAAATCCTATTGAACATCTCTGGAGAGATCTGAAAATGGATGTACACCGTCACTTCCCATCCAACCTGATAGAGCTTGAGAGGTACTGCAAAGAGGACTGGACAAAAATTCCTAAAGACAGGTGTGCCAAGCTTGTGGCATCATATTCAAAAAGACTTGAGACTGTAATCGCTGCCAACAAAGCATTGAGCAAAAGCTGTGAATACTTCTGTACGTGTGATTTTTCAGCTTTTTTATTTTCAATAAATTTGCAACAAATTCAAAAAATCTTTTTAACATTGTCATTATGAGGTATTGTGTGCAGAATTTGGATGAAATAAATGAATGTAATCTATTTTAGAATAAGGCTGTAACATTAAAAAATGTGGAAAAAGTAAAGCGCTATGAATACTTTCCAGATGCACTGTATACTGCTAAGAACTTAATATGGAAACTTTAAAGGGGATTTTCTCAATATATGAACCTTCAGATAACAGATTTTGAAATAGTTTTATCTAGGCCAAATATTAGTCTAACATAACAAACTATACATCACTGAAAAGCTTATAATTTAGCTACTAGATGATTTAATAAACAAAAATATATGTATACTTGAAGTCTGGAAATGGATAATGACATCAATATTAAATCAATTAATAATATAACTTATCTGTTAACACAGTATTTCCCAACCGTTTTGTGTTATGTCAAATATCCCTTCATCAACACAAACCAAAAATGTTTCTTTTATCTGGTAATATACTAATGTAAGTGCTTTAATGATACCACTAAAGTCACTTAAAGGGATCATGAATTGAAAATTAAAAATATCTTTTGACGTACAAGAGGTCATAATACTATAAAAACATCCTGTTTCAAAACTCAAAACTTACTTGTTCACCCACAAACAGCTATCAGTGGATCCAAGCTTCCAAAAAGACTTGTTTCAGATTTTCTCAAAGGAGTAGCAAAAGTCTACTTCAACATCACTTCCTCTTAAGGCTTTCCCAACAGTTCCCACAGGTAGCATAGGTGAGTATTAATAAGAGAGATGAATATAAGATGCTATGCATTGTCAAAATGCATTTGTGTTTGTCTATTTTATTTCCAATATTTTTTTTTAAACAAGGCCCATGAAGTCGGTTTTTCAGAGAGACTGAAAAAAAAAGAGCAAACTCATCACTATGTAAGAAACAATGTTTTTTACCATGTGTCAGTATTTGCTTGCCTGTTTTAGATTGTTTGTTATGCAGAACATATTTATTGCTTATTGACAAAGTGACCTATACCTAGGCCCACACGGAATCTGCGCACGCAGAATTCCGCAGATTTTCCGCAGATTTCTGCAGATTTTTAGCCCATTATTAATTCTGTTTATTTACTTGAGTAAATGTGTAAATCTGAATTTATTCAGTTTTTATTCAGTAATTTATTACTTTTTATTTAATATATTAAGGTTTTAGTTATGATACTCTGCTGGACACTCCCAAAATAATTCCGCAGAAATCTGCAGATTTTTACCAAAACTCTCCGCAGAAATAGCAAAAAACGTCTGCAGATTCCATCTGGCCCTGCCCATACCTTATTTTAATATAAAAACAGTTCTCTCCAACATAGGCTCATTCTGAAAGCATAGCCCTATGCACATTTCTGGAGATGGCGAACTATGTAACCAGTCTTTAAAACGAACGCTACGAGGGGGTATGATGCTGTTCCTTTTCTCGCTTACCAGCTGACCGCTTACTGTACCTCCATATGGATGGCTTTTTTGCTTTTACCAGTTTGTCTGATAGCTCGAAATGTATGTCAGCGGACTTGAGACGCAGAGCTAGTTGACCATGACAACGGGGTTCGAGTCCGATGAAGAACAGTTTCAGAAGCAGGTAATACATAAATAAAAATAAATATAAAATAAATAACAGGGTGAAATGAAGTAAAATCTGAAAACGTGGTTTTCTTTTTCTGGATTGCTTTTTAAAACTGTCGGTTGGGTTTGGGGAAGTGGGTGGGCGGGTCAGTCGGGTCTTTTTGAAACACTATGAGTTGGGTTTAGGAAAGAGGGAGGGTGGGTCAGTTGATCTTTCAGTCAGTCAGTCATTCAGTCAGTAGACAGGCAGTCGACAGCAGCCTCTGGTGGATTTACGTGAGAACAGCAGGCGGGAAAGGCACTCTCGGGAGAAATTTGAGATCTGAAAAAGCGCCCTCTGGTGGATTCGCTTAAACAAAAACTGCAAAAAACGTACCTCCTGGGATGTATTTTGCTCTCCCCAGAAATGTATATGGGGGTACTGTAAGTAATCAGAATGAGCCTGGGTTGGTTTTCTCAGCAGTGGCTGTTTGTTTGAAAGTCTTGAATGAAACACACTTGTCAAAAATGAATTTCAGAAAGAGTTTTAAATACAGGATAGAAAATAGCTTATTACCTCTACATTGTTTTGTTTTTTAAATATATATAAAAATCTAGCAAACATTATAAGCAGACCCCAGAAAACAACACACTGTAAAACTTTTAAATGCAGATCATGACCATTTCAAATGTGAAAAATGTGAGTGAGTTTCAATGAAAACCAATGTTAAAAAAACACAGTAAATGAAATTAGGCACCACTGATTATTATTTGGTTTTAAACTTTAATAAAGTACAATCAAATGTATCCCAACTTGTTTAAGAAACCCTGGGATTACTGTGTTAACATATATTGAAGATCTCTCTCTTTTTAACATTTCTAATTGACCTTTTTCTTTTTATGCAAGTGCGTAAGAAGCCATTTAAACTTCATTAGTTCAAGACTTCCGGTCTCATTCACTTTCAGTCGTAAAAAAACGCTTGTCAGGCTGCAAGCTGATGTTGCAAAATTGTGTTTTCTTCTTATTTTATTTTTATGTATTGTATATTGTATATTCATAAACACAATTGTTTATAGAGCAGGTAGTTTGACTGTTTATTGCCGTTTAATATTCCTAGTGATTTCCTCATAGGAAAATGAATCGGAGGTTCTAAAACAATCTCAGAGAAGAGCTTACTTCCGCATTGCAGAATAAGGTCAATTGTTCTCTTTTTTTGGTTTCTAAAATAGATAATAATATGAACATGAAACGTTAAATGATATAATGACTTTTCATAATAATTCAACATGCTTCCTCATTCTACATACACCATCACCATTGTTAATAGGCACAGAACAGACATCATTTTAGCATCTGATAACAGTACGTTTAGTATGTAGAAAAATAGAAGGAAACGCACATGAAGCTGTTACACTATTTTACCTGGTGGTTTCAATGGCAGAGTATGAAGCCTAAGAATAGACTCTCATTAGACTAGCTGAATCCTCGTTCTGCTAATAGAATGTGACACAGACTTAATAGCACCGTATAGCTATTCTGGAAGCACTTACACACTTGTGTGTAAGCTGCCTAGCACTTATTTTTAATGTGAGATTCCTGTGATCACACCCCCCCTCCCTCTCTTACTGTCTCTGCACAGTATACCAGAGAATGAAAAATGTGTCGTCCTGGAAGAGCAGGATTGCTAGATTAGTCCTCGCTGGTCTAATGTCATTTAAGGATTAAGAGATCTCTGGGAGACAGTAAGGACAATCTAGTGCTTCTCGCTCTAGGTACAGCTAAATACTGACTCTGGCCAAAAGACAGACCACACAACATCCAAGTGTGTGACTAAACAAATTTGTGATCCTATGAATAATGGCAATTAAAGAGAGCGCTATGTTACAATTTCTGCATACATCTATGCATTTTTTAAACTTTTGTTTAACATGTATTTCATTAAAAAAAAAGCTTTTTGCTTAATGCCATGGAAACTAGAAGCACAAAACCATACTTTAACAAACTGTGCGTTTAGATAAAGTCCACAGTGTATATTTCTTTGAAAGATGATTGAAATGAAAAAGAAATAAAATACTGCAGTTATTTTTTTTCTGAGCTTAGTTAATTAAAGCTGCATCATAGTAAAAATGAAATAAAATGTCCAGGTAATTAATGATGAACATATATATAAAGAATGAATCAAAATGGAGTAATAAAATGATTCGCTTTAGCTTTTTTAACACATTAGCTAAGTCAGACACAAAATTTGGGGGTTGTTAAAATTGAACATTTTTCCAGGCAATATGAAAAAGTTCTTCTTATTAATGTTGAGAACTTAGACATTCAAATGAACAGCCTTAACTTGAAATGTTGTAAAAATACCCTCTTTTATTTTTATCAATATAGTTATAACTTGCTTAATAACATTACTTTCTTTTTTTAAATGTTACTGAAACCCCAAACCTTTGAACATCAGTGTATGCTTTTTAATTCTAGTTTCAAGTACAGTGGTCCTTTGATAATCACAGGAGTTAAGTTCTAAAAATAACCCGCAATAGGCGAATTCCACGAAGTAGTTGGCTTTTTTTTTTAACTATTATTATAGATGTTTTAAGGCTGCAAATCCCCTCACCACACACGTTATACACTTTTCTCAGACAGGCATTAAAGTTTTCACATTTTTTTCTTGTTCAAACACTCTTAAAGTTAAAACCTTCGTAGAAAAATAAGTCTTTTTTTATAGAATGAAACCAACTGCAGTCACTGAAACAGACTCCATATTTTTGAAGGTCTTGTTGTGTACAGTTACAAGCCTTTTTTAATCCTTGTTGAAATTTATTGCTGCTTTTGTCCATATGTTATTTTTTTCCTTCGTTATCTAACGAACCGAACATTCATTTATACTGTAATGGCGCTCTACAGCCACGTAACTTCTATCTTACTTTAGCATGTCCAGAAGTCCAACTTTCTTTGCGATGGTTAGCATCTTCCTCTGCCTTTAGGTCCTACCGCAGGTGCCTTTGATGGTGCAAAATGTTTCGTCGACATGTAGGGTTTGTTGAGGAAAAAACTTGCAAACATACAATACAGCACTTCAGTGTCACACTGCTAGCGATCAAAGATTTATGCAAATTTGGCAAGCCGAACGCATTCTGTATGAATAGGAGACATGGCACGGAGGAGATTGATAAACAGTGGTCTACAACCAATCCAGACTCAGAACATGTTGTGCTGTAAAAAAAAAGCAAGTCAAAATGCAAAACTCCCCGAAAGGTGAACCGCCTTATAGCGAGGGACCACTGTACCTGATATTATTTGTCTAATTTTGTGACTGACATGCTATTTTTAGCTATAATGCATCATTGAATGCTATTCCATTAAGCTATTACTCATCTTTGGGGCTTTCAAGATAAACAGTTGCGACTCTTTTCTCATGACAGACCTTTAAGTGTGGCTCAATCATCTGAGTCTGTGAGAATTCAGAAGAGCTGCTTTGCACTTCGATGGCTCCTTCACTCACTGATGCAGTAGAGCCGTTGTTCACATCCATCTGAAAAGTAAAAGATCTCTCAGTAGGGCCGAGCTTGATGTGTTTTTCTGTCTTGCCAAACCCATCGGTTGAGCTCCACTGTTGGAACTCTTCATCGGTGGTCATCCATGGCACTTCGTCCGTTTCAAACTCCTCTTTGGAAATTTTCATGGTGTATCCTGTACCGGCAGCTCCACCTATGGCCTGCTGGAGCATTGGATGAGATGAGCTCAGCGCCGCCATGATCTGCTCTTCAGATGGATCATCTTCTGCTTCTTCCAGCAGTCCAGACTCCTCCAACGTCTGGGACACATTGAGCTCCGCCACAATAGTCATGGTTCCATTGTCTGCAACTTGTTCTATTTTTTTGATGTCCACCGAGACATTCTCTGGAGTCTCTCTACCTTTCGTGAAAAATGCCAGCTCTTCCTTGAGGGCTCCAGAAACAGTGTCTTGGATTTGCTCTAATGCTCCTCTGAGCTGCTGTTCGGGGTCTAGTGAGTCCTCTCTCAGGATCCCCACTATGGACTGTTGCAGAGTGGGAGAAACGTGCACCTCCTCTTCAATTATGCAGTCTTGGATATTGTCTCTCAGAAACGAGCGGTCACCATAATCAGGTGAGTCTCTGTAACTGTGACCTTCAGCAGTGGGTCGTTTTGGATCATCTTCCTGGTAATATCTTTCATCAGACAGATCATCCACAACTCCGTAATGGCTATATGACATAAACCTTCCGCCATCCTCCGACTCATTGTCTTTTTCCTCGGACTCTGACAGGTTCTCGTCAGGAGTGGAGACGAAGTATTCTTGTGAGTCTTTACCATGTGAGAAGTAGGGTAGACTTTCTTCTTTGGAAACATCCTGAAACTGCATAGACCCACTGTTCCCATAACGTGAGGATTTAGCAAAATCAGTCTCGTAGGGTTTTGTGGTCTTAGGGTCACTCTCTAGCTCCTCGATTTGGAAGGACATTGATGAGGGACTGATGCTTGGCTGTTTAGACTTAATCTCCACAGTCTCCTCTATTTCAATTTCACTCTCCTCATCACTCTGAGAATCCACCGGTTCCTCGATTACCTCCACATTCACCAACTTATTTTCCAAACTCTCACCTTGCAGGCCAAGACTCAACAGGTTCTCAATCATGGCTCCCGTTGGGGTTCCTTTGATGTTCTCCAGAGTGACCTTCTTGACTCCCTGGCTGAGAAGCTCCTCTAGGGCAGAATCTTCAGACAGGTCCAGCTCCTCCTCAACTTTCGATTGTAAGACAATCTGAGTCTTGGTGGTTCCATCCTCTTGTTCTGTTTTCTCTACGTGATATGTGACCTTTGAGTCAGGGGATGAGCTGACCTTAGGATCTAAACCGGCTGGTTTCATGACCTTCTGAATGATTTCCTCCATAGAAACAGCATCTAACATTTTCTCCTCACCTACAAATACCTTATGCCCCACATGTTCAGACTCTCTCACATCTTTGGCGATTGATTCTTTCACATCCCCTCTTTTATCTTTTATTGATGCCTCAGATTTGTCTTGATCTAGTTTGAAATCCATTTTCTTTTCTTTCAGTTTAACATCTTTCTCTCGGCTTTCTTCTGTGATGGTCTTGCTCAAGCTCACAGTAGGTGATATTACATTCACTGACTTTGGTTTCTCTATTTTTGACATGGTTGAGCTTGGTGTACTTTCGATTCTAGTGGGGGGAAGATCAGGTGAGCTTTTTGAAGGGTGCTGAGAGACCTCTTTTCTCAGATATCTCTGATCTATCTCCTCTCTTTTTACCTCTACAGAAGAAACTCCAGGTTTTGAGGTACCGGAAGCAGCTGCTTGAGCTGCTTTGGTGAATGAAATCATGTCCCTTCTAGAATCAGGACTCTGCTGGGCACGATTTGATACACTGATGGGCACAATCCTAGAGGGTTCGTAAGAATGAAACTGACTGGATGTTGATGAGGATCTCATGCTGGAAACAGGCTCCATATATTTAACATCATATCCTGTGAAGGCTTTTTTTCTTGTATCCGGCCGACTTGCAGAATTAACAGAGACTCTTGGAGTGTAAACATGGGCTGGTGTTTTAATATCTACAGTACACAGACAACAGACAGTAGGTAGAAATTAGGATTGTGAAGATTTTACTTTCTAAGGTGGTTCTAAATATGCAAAATATCAACTTAATAAGAAATCCTATGTTGTTAAAAAAAAACTCATATAGCACAGCAGCTCAATGAAACAAGCAAATACCTATAATTCTTTCTCTTGAATGCTGATTAGACCACATTTTAGCATGTCTTCCTTCTTCTTCCAAGAGCGCCCTATTGATCATGACAAGGGCGAATGGAAAATAATTAGTGTGAGCAGAACATACAGTATCATAAAGTAGACCTAGACAAATTGTTTTCAGATTGAGAATGCTGACTACCTCAATGATCTTTCATGACCATGAAAAAGCTCATACAACACTGAGGACAAATAGAAAACCAACCAAGCCACCTCATGCTAAGCAGAAACACAGCTGAAGACATAACCAACACTCTTACTGTATATCCAGCATTGTGTTTAATAGATTAAACTGGTTGTTGAGCGCTTTGAACCTACCTTGAAAGTGCTTTTACATGAAAAATGTGTCAGAAAACCAAAGCGAAGCAGACTTTGTGAAGCTACAGACAGTATCCCTGTGAAAGTCCCCTGTGATTCCTTTGCGAGACTGATCTAAAAATAACTGCTACAATGCACTCTGTCTGTTTTCATTATGGCTTATGATGTGGTGCAGTTTTAAACAGACGAATGGAAAGACACGTCTACATTATGTGTCAAAACTAATTCAGGCCAACTTTACATTTTACATTAGGTATAAATGTTGTTTGACGAATTACAATTATTATGTAGAAAGCTTTAAAATCCTACCTGTTATGGCGGATTATATTAGTGGTGTGACATACTGTAACAAAAATGGCATTGAAACAACAAGATCTAAAAAATTTTCTATTGTGATGTGGCTTAATTGAATAATTCCAAATGCTACATTTTTACAAGTATTTAATGGATCACACAGCTTTACAGTCATATACAGTCAGTGTTTGTTAAATGTACAGGGATAAGGTCAGAAAAACAGAGACTTAAGCAGTCTAACAAGGCAAGAGAGGTGGAGCTGTATGCAAACTTGCCAAATGGGTGGGCTTTAGTTGCTCTGTTGCTGCAGTGACTAAAAATACATCTGCAAGGCACATGCTGGAGGTGGTGACTGTGGCTAACTCAACTACTCAAATCTAACCAGACAACAGTCATGCACATATATTCACATTGCTAAACAGGTTTTAGATACCCAACATACTTTTGTAATTGCAGAATAAGGGCCCATTCACACAGAATGAGTTTTGCATTTACAATTTTGAGACGTACAATAGGGAGTAGAGGCAAATTTCCCAACTTTAATGCTGCTGTTTTAAAATACTGTATTGTTGACGGATTACTGCCAATATACTGGTCAAAGACATCTTTCTAGTGCTTGGATTAAGAGGATGTTTAGATTTTAGTTTAAGAAAAACTGGAATGCAGAAATGACCCTAACAATGAAATATGAACATGAGACATTTCATTGGCTTTCAAGGTCTCCTGCACTAGTCCTTAGAGAAGACAAGTCTGCCAAGTCCATGAAGCACAAGTAATTTTGGTATTAATATTTAATGAGAACGTAGGAGAAGGGCACAGAAACAGGTCTTTCTTTCCAGAGCTTGAACTGGAATAAATTCATTGATAGTATTTTAACAAAAATGTCAAACTTGGATTTAAAATGTATGTATATATATATATATTACATCGTGTCTCAAGAAAAACCAAGCAATAATCCATCATACAAAAAATAAGACTGCTTATTGTACTAGAGGAATACGAATGACTAAATTTCACACAGGAATAACAGCACAATCTGTGCATTAGAATAATCATTTTACTTACTTAGCAATAAGGTAATGATGGCTTAATGATGACATATTTATTTTTAGCTGCGCAAGGCTTAAATAAAAATGGTGTTTTTGAATAAAGATAAAAGTTTGATCAAAGATTTATGAAAACTGAAAGGCTACCGTGCTTCATGTTTTCTTTGTGAGTTTCTGACTAAAACTGGACAAAAGGTGGATTGGTTTACTTTTTAGCAAAAATTGGCTGCACTGGATCAGTATGTTGTGTGGTGGGTAGTGGTCATCCGCGCACTGTCCATACTGTTGAAAATATAGCACCAATCGCACTGTCCGACCGATTGCACGGAAGTCTGGCAATTAATGACTTCGATATGTAAACTTAAATGTTTCTGTGTGTGCTAATTTAGTTTGCAAGTAATAAAATTGAAGTGTTCTGTCAATATTTGGGTTATCATTGTTTAATAAGGTAATATGCTGATGTAAATCAGGTGAGGTGGAAAACATATACATTTCATATAATTTCATCTATTTGCCTTCTAATTACAAAATACAATTAAAGTTGAAGGTATTTTGATGAAATTCTCACAGATTAATTTCGCTAGGATTAGAATTATTAGTCCCCCTGTTTTTTCCCCAATATCTGATTTTTTTAAACACATTACTTATCATAATAGTTTTAATAACTCATCTCTAATAACTGATTTATTTTATCTTAGCCATGATAACAGTAAATAATAATTGACTAGATTTTTTTAAGACACTCCTATACAGCTTAAAGTGACATTTAAAGGCTTAACTAGGTTAATTAGGTTAACTAGGCAGGTTAGGGTAATTAGGCAAGTTATTGTGATGGTTTGCTCTGTAGACTATCAAAAAAAAGCTTAAAGGGGCTAACAATTTTGACCTAAAATGGCTTTTAAAAAATTAAGAACTGCTTTTATTTAAGTCAAAATAAAACAAATAAGACTTTCTACAGAGGAAAAAATATTAACAGACATACTGTAAAAATTTATTTGCTATGTTAAACATAATTTAGGAAGTATTTAAAAAAGAGAAAGAAATTTCAAAGGGGGGCTAATAATTCTGATGTCAACTGTATATACATAAACCTCTGGAATCAATGCATAGCATGAATTATCAGAAAATGAAAAACTATTTCAAAAATTATTTCACTATTTTCAAAACTTGTCTGTAAGGCACTACATTGTCATTCAAGGAAAACTAAAGAATGTTAAAGTACTTAAATATTTTTCATTATATTAATTGAAACTGTGTTGACAAAGTGTAAGGGTGACCAGATATCTCAGAGTGGACTTACAGAATACACAAAGAACCACCTGAATGGACATTTTCTTCTTCTATACTATATGATTAGCTGCCATTGATTATGCTATTTTTGTCCAAAAGGATGCTACTAGAAGCACTTAGCACTGAAGAATTTTTTAGGAGAAGTAAAATCGGAACAAAACATGATTTTTTTTTTATTGTCCCAGTTAAAAAATTAACATATTATCACCCTACAATTTTTACAAATCCTTGACTTCCTAATTTGTCTATGAATGCTTGTAGGCTGATTTTTATATCAACGTACTGTAGTATGTCAATGCCAATTACATTCAGTCTCTTGATTGTTATGTGTGCGAAGTGCAAGTACAAGCAATGAGTTGTTGGTTGAAGTTCACGTAATGGCCACTGGTGTCATGAAAAAGAAGGTTTCTTGAGGTCAATAAGTAATTACATTTATTGATTTTGTTGAAGAAGCTCTTACCTGTATGCTGCCACTTCCAGAGCGAGACCCATCTTGACCTGTAATAGATCTTGATGGTCCTTCAGCTTATCTGAGATGTTGCTGGACAGCATTCTGCGCTCATACTCTAGTTCCTCAATAATAGCCTGCATGACAAGAAGATAGTACACTTTTATCATACACTTTTAATTGTTCCTGTGAATTCCAGAATATATCCTTTACTATTACTCCCCCTGAACCCAGAAGCTTGTGTTTTGTCGTTTTTGAGTAGGTACGGTGAGGACTCTTGAGTTCCACCTTTTGGTTCATAGCTCTTGATTCAAACATGCGTTTCCTTCCTGAGGGTCCGGGCCTAGGAAAATTTCTGGCATGTCAGAAGTTCATCCGACCTTCTTTTTGCTGGTTGGGAGAGGTTAATCGCCTCTCTGTTCCCCCTGTACACTGACTAAACCCAGCGTGACAAACTACGCACAATGACAGCCAAAAAAGGAGAAGCACGAATCAAAATTTGGCTCAAAATTCACTCAGTGTATGCCCATCTTAAGGCTGCCCAGCAGGCATAGAACATCAACATGCCGTCAGATTGACCTTGCACCCCAATGACGTAGGGACTTTGCATTTTGTTTAGAACTGAGAATCTGGTTGACGTCATTGTCAACCCATTGTGCGGCTGAAGTCAATGTTCAATGTCCAAGCTAAAATCAACCAACGTCTAATGATGTTACAGATTGACTTTGTGTGGACGTTACCATTATGACGTCTATCAGACGTTGGATTTTGGTTTCCACACCTGATGAATGAATGTCAGTATTTAATGTCAATATATGACGTTGGTTTAAGATGTTAACTCGAAGTTGGATTTTGGTCACTTTCCAACACAACCTAAAGTCAACCAAATATTAATGTCATTTGATATCACTGGATCAAATTAATGTTGTCCTTAGATGCTGACTAGACATTGCATTTTAGTCACCTGATATCACGACCAAAATCTAACCTAATATTAATGTCTTATGATGTCATGTGCCTGCTGGGTGAGTTCACATGATTGCTCTGGAAGTGTAGTTTATTTAAATAAGTAGGAATTCTATCATCTTAACTACCCAATCTAATACTAACACACTGCATTTTCTTTTGTCACAAAAGCTGTTTTTCCTCTATTTTAAGTTTGGTTTTAAAAATGACAAAACTAGGCAAACCAGGAGTAAATGTATAATCCTTCTTCATTCACCCTGCATAATAGTATTACACAGCATTTAATCTATAGACTGATAAATGTCTTTGTAAATGCTTATTACAGGCCTGCGTCATTAGGCTGTTGGGTAATTGCTTATCTGTTATGGATTTGGACTCTGAATATTTTGGCACGAGGCTGGTTGCAATAATATGTCAAAGCTGACATCCTCCAAACAGCCCATTCAATTTAGCCCACAGTGACACAACACTTTAGTGATGCTTGCACTTTGCTTCAGTAACTGCTTATTTGTCATTCTCTGTGGAGAGAGGCAATCATGGGATAAAGCATTAATGCTCAATTTTTCTAAAGCACATTGAGCTAGAGATGATAAACAGGGATATTGGCAGAGCTAAAGCACTTCTCACTTGTGCTCCTAAGGGGCCTATTGTAAGAACAGGTGTTTGGATAATGTCTATCTACATGAAGTTGATGACTGCTTGGTATCTGTTATTTGTGCGTTTTGTAATCTTTTACTTTAATGTCATTGCCTGAGTGTAAAACCTCAAGTAAAAAACTTCACTTTGGGGCCCTGATTTGACAAGAGGGTGGAGTTAAGGAAACTTGGGCGTTTACGGCAGGCCCAGACCAACTGGGCTATAAGACCACCTTGGTGACACTGTGTCTCCAGGTGATGACGTCGATTAAATGGAGGCAGGTCGCTTAAATGGAGGCAGGTCCGGGCCTACCGTAAACGCCAAAGTTACGGTTTTGTAAAGGCAATGCTATAAAAAATGTCTTGCAAATACATACTATATATATATATATATATATATATATATATATATATATATATATATATATATATATATAGTTTATATATATATATATATATATATAGTTTTGTGTTGCCATTTATTTTTGCTCTGCTTGATTTTTTTTGTTAGCAAATTTTATTTTCATTTCTCAAAACTTAAGTTTCCCATTGCGATTTTTGGAGATTTGCATTT